ATTGTGAATATATTGACATCAATACATACAGATAGTCAAGCAGCAATTGGGGCCCTGAATAGTCATGCAAGTCGCTCAAAGTTGGTGGATGAATGCAAAAGCAATCTTAATCTTCTTTGTAGTACTAACAAGGTGAGAGTAGAATGGGTACCTGGGCACTCAGGAATTCCAGGAAATGAGAAAGCCGATTATCTTGCTAGGAAAGGCTCTGCACAGGTGCCTGTTGCAACAGAGCCTATTTGTGGAATAAGCCTTGGCTTTGCCAAAAGATATATTAAGACAATTGTGGGCAATAAATGTATGCTACACTGGGCACAGGCTAGGAAACAGATTCATTCTAAATTATTCCTTGTAGGGCCCTGCCATAAAAGAAGCTAATTCACTTCTTCTAATCGACAGGAATACCATTAGGTGAGTGACAGGACTGTTTACTGGTCACTGTCAATTAAATAAGCACCTTTTCAATTTGGGTGTGAGTGAAACCTCCACCTGCAGGATGAAACGGCCTATCACATTATTTGCAGATGTGATAATTTGGCTAGACTGCGATACTTTCACTTTGGATGTGATCGTATCACTGAGACCAAGCACTGTGAACTGATTGATCGCATCAGTATCAATAGGTTCACGAAGGCATCAGGCCTGTTTTAATTGAATTTAAGACGACGCACAATAGGCCTTTGTAAAGCCGCGATGCACCATCCCTATATCAGAAAAAAAAATTAATAAATAAAAAGAAGCGAAGCGAAACGATGGTAATGTGTTTAGGTCATCCACTAATATCTTTATAACGCTGTTTTTATAAAGCTGAACAATTTTTAAGTTTGATGGCTCAATCTACTGAGTATCTAAAGTATTGACTATTGAGTATTTAAATAATCCACTAAAATTAAAAAAAAAAAAAAGCTGTTGTAGTTAGGTGCCTAACACACCACCAACGAAACTCGAGACTCTTTAGAATGTTGACACGCATTGATACATGGAACAAAATCCATTTGGTAGGAGCTGTGATCTGTGGCAGCAAGTTTAAAAATACCTAGATATCAATTTCCCTATCAATCTACATTTCCTTAGGATGGATAAAATTTCCCAATTTCTATAGTCAGTTTTTTTTTAAGGTAATATGCGAGTAAAACTTTACGATTCGGAGCACATTAATGTTTTAACCTCAGTCATGAATGCAAAGCTTCCATTGTGAAAAAGCTGTTTTAACTATTCTAGTGCATAACGTGTCAGTGTCATTCAGGTCACACTTTCCTTTATTTTTGTTATGAAAACAGGTGGCTAAATACTTTCTTGTGGATTTAAATATAATTTTTAAATCATTTAAGCTGCTGAATATCTTTTTTATGTTTTGCTTTAGAACATTTTATTATTTAGTTCCGAATTAAATTTATAGAAATGTCGGGATGTAGAGGAGGAATGGAAGAAAAAGTTGAGAATTGAGAAGGTTTGTTTTGTTTTTTCTATTCACCTTTGCAAATAGAAAAAACAAAGAAATTATTAAAAATATAAACTATAGTCAACAATCATATTGTAATTTAACTACATTAATATGAATTGAAATTCTCATAGTCTGTGGTACTGACCCCTTTATATCAAATTATTAACATCCTTCTGTACAAATGTAAATACATAGGCAAAAATATTTGTATGCACACTTACCACAATAATCATCACAAGGGTTGTTACATGCAGCAGAACAATCCGAATAAGTTTTATCATTGCAAATTGTTATATATGTTTCTTTACAAGCTGGTAAATATTTAATTTTTTCACGTTCACCTTTAGAAATAGAAAAAAAATATATATATATTAAATTAATTATAAACAATATTCACTATAGTTAACAGCAATAAGCGAGTTTAACTCCATTAATATGGGAGGTCAGAGCATGCAGAGGGCCAAACTGTGATAGTGATCACTTCCTAATGAGAGCATTGTTTAGGAACAGGATTGCAAATGCTAAAAAAAGGACACAGAGTAGAAAGGAAAAAATGGAATTTGGAAAAACTCACCAGTCATGAAGCAAGGAAGAGTTTTGAGGAAGAGGTGACAGATAAACTGCAACAATGCGATGTGAAGGATGAGGTTGAAAATGAGTGGTCTGCTATAAGAGAAATAGTGCAAGGAGCGGCAGAACAGGTTTTGAGAGAGGCAAGTAGTAGAGTAAATTCAGAATGGTTCGATGAATAATGTGCAAATGCAATTGAACAAAAGAATGGTGATAGGATGAAGATGCTTCAATAGGAAAACAGGAATAACTGAGATAGGTATACATTTAGTAGGACAAAAGCAAATAATAAAAAAAGGGAATGGCTGAGAAAAAGGATTTAAAATATGGAATAAATGCGGGAAAATAGGGAGGAAAGAAAATTTTATCAGGCAATCAGGAAAATGAGAAACGGTTTTAGGCCCAAAATATATCTTTGTCGTAGTAAGGATGGCGTACTGTTGGGAGAGGGTGCACAAGTGATGAATAGATGGTCAGAGTATTTTAGAGAGATACTAAATGACAGCATAAATGATAATGACAATGAGAACATCAATGATGTCTGTAAGTTATGAAATGATATGAAAGTTGATCCTGATATTGAACCGCCTTCCTTTGAGGATTTTGTGGATGCATTAGTAGGATTAAGAAATAACAAAGCTTCTGGAGAGGACAGTATATTGGCAGAAATTATTGAGTGTAGTGGAATTTTTTTCTGACAGAGATTATATAATCTGATGCCGAGAGTATGGCTTGATGAGGATATACCTAAGGAATGGTGCTCAGGTTTAGTTTTCCCAATATTCATAAAAGGTGATAGAATGGTATGTGAGAACTACCAGGAAATAACGCTTTTAAATGTTGTTTATAAAATTTTATCCAACCTTCTGGTACAAAGACTAAAAATGTATTCAGAAAGAATCATGACGGATTATCAGTGTGGTTTTCGGCCTAACAGAGGTACTAACGATCAGATTTTTATTTTACGACAAGTGCTCAAAAAGTGTTATGAGCATGATATTGATGTGCATATACTGTTTATAGATTTTAAACAAGCCTTTGACCAAATTAAAAGAATCCAACTTTTTGGTGCATTGCGTAAATATAATATCCTGTATAAACTAATCCACCTAATTGAAATGATTATGCTGAATACACAACTTAAGTATGAATTGGCAATCAGATTAGCGAAATCTTCCAATTTAATTCTGGAGTAAGGCAGGGAGATGCACTCTCAAAAATTCTATTTAACTTGGCGCTAAATAATGCAGTTAAAGCAATCATGCCAGATGGTAATTTAGCATGCCGAACTAGACAAATATTGGGATATGCTGACGGCATTGCAATTATAGGTAGAAGCAAAGCAGCAATAGTTGTGGTTCTATCAACATTGGTTGTAGAATGTAAGAAGGTTGGATTAATAGTTAACAACACGAAAACAAAGTATATGGGAGTCTTGACCTCGGATTCAAGAAGGAAGCCAGATGATTTTGTTTTCCAGGAATACTTTTTTGAAGCAGTGGAAAGTTTCACGTATCATGGGGTGCAAATAAATAGCAAAAACTTGATTAGCCCTGAAATAAGAGGAAGAATCATGGCAGGCAACAGAGCATACTTTGGTATGTTACATTTTTTTAAATCGAAACTCCTATCCAGAGTCACAAAACTCAAAACCAGTTGTGTGCTATGGAGCCAAAGCCTGGACGCTGAAAGTAGCTGACCAGAAGACACTAAGAATTTTAGAAAGAAAAAATCGTAAAGGAAGCAAAGATCCACCTCGGACTGTAGAGCCCGTCAGTAAGTAATATGAATTGAAATTCTTATGTTTACATAAATGGGGCCATGAAAACACATGCACATAGACAAAAATATTTTTCCACTATTTTGTACAAAAACACTTTTATGCACACCACAATAATCATTACAAGAGTTGTTACATGGAGCAGAGCAATCCAAATAAGTCTTATCTTTGCAAATTGTTCTATATGTTTCTTTTTAACATGTTTCTTTGTAAGCTGGTAAAATTTAACTTTTTCAAATTCACCTTTGGAATTAGAAAAACACTGCGAATGATTTCACAATGGTTTATTATCTCCAAACAATTATACATCTAAAGCAACATTACCTTCCGAGTTACAAAGAAAAAAAAAAAAAAGGTGATTCCAGTTATTGGACTAAACTATTTTTCTTTAATCATTAGAAATATGCTAAAAAAAAATAGCATTGTTTCAGTAACACATTTAAAATTTAAAAACCAAACAAAGGATATAACATTTGGAGTAGAACCCATAAAAACAAACCAGAGACCATATCTTTGCTCCTAGTTGTCCGATTTTAACGATTTTTTTTTTTTTTTTTTTGGAAATTTCATAAACTTTTCAAAAACCATCACAAACCAAAAACCAACAAAAAAGTAAAAACTTTTCGAGTTATTCGGAATTTAATTTTAATATCCCTCGTAACTTTTTTTCCAGCTTCTTTTCGTTGAAGTATGTTATATAGATAAATTTAAAGGGCATCGAGAAAATGACTTTAGCGAAGTTTCATTGAAATCTGTACATTCGTTTAGGAGACACAGTCTATAGCAACGCGGGTTTTTCGGCCGCCATTTTGAAAGTTAAAGGCGGAGATTAATGTCGATGAAGGAGGATCATCCTCGGGTGACCTCTGATTTTATATCACAATTTGAAAAAAATCGGTCCAGTATTTTCGGAGAAAATGCGCGGACGGACAAAAAAATGTTTATTCGTTTTTCGAATTCTACGCATCTTGAAACGTGAAACCTCAAATTTTGAGAGGGGGTTATGTTTTTGAATTTTTTGGTCGATCACAATGTTTCATTATTGAAAAAAATGAACCAAAAATATAAATAAATTAAATTAATTATAAGCAATATTCTCAGTAGTTAACAGCAATAAGCCAATTTCACTACATTAATATGAATTGAAATCCTTATGTTTAAATAAATGTAACCATGAACACACACATGCACATAGGCAAAAATATATTATGCACACTTACCACAATAATCATCACAATGGTTGTTACATGCAGTAGAGCAATCCAAACAAGTTTTATCTGGACAAATTGTTTTACACGTTTCTTTGTAAGTTGGTAAATATTTAACTTTTACACATTCACCTTTGGAATTAGAAAAAAAATATATAAATTAAATTAATTATAAACAATATTCACTGTAGTTAACAACTATCAGCCAATTTAACTACATTAATATGAATTGAAATCCTCATGTTTTCACAAATGTAACATGACCACAAATAGGCAAAAATATTTTTATGCACACTTACCACAATAGTCATCACAAGGGTTGTTACATGCAGCAGAACAATCCAAACAAGTCTTGTCTTGGCAAATTTTTTTATATGATTCTTTGCAAGATGGCAAACATTTAACTTTTATACATTCACCTTTGGAATTAGAAAAAATAAATTAATAAATATATACTCTATAGTTAATAACCATAAGCCAATTTAACTACATCAATATGAATTTATATCCTCATGATTATGTCAATGTAACCACCAGCATACACATTGGCAAAAATATTTATATGCACGCTTACCATAACAGTCATCACACGGGTTGATACATGTAGCTGAGCAATCGAAACAAGCCTTATCTTGACACATTGTTTTGTATGTTTCTTTGCAAGCTGGTAGACATTTATTTTTTATCCTTTCACCTTTGGAAATAGGAAAAATCTGGCATGGTTCGCGCATCACAAAACTTTCACATACCAACCTTAGAGTAGATAGGTGTTATCATATATAGTGGAGTCAAAGTGAAAACGATAGTATATCTTCATTTAAAGCAATTAATTACAATTTTCCCCCCATATTGGATATGATTGTTTGGATCACTTTCCATTTCCTTTTACAACTGTCTATAGTATCCAAAAATAAAAATGATTATGGATCAAAATAAAAGTTTTCGAAAATTTAAAGTTTTATCAGGAAAATTTATTATGAAACTCATCGAAAAAATAACTTAGCGTTAGTAAATATTGTATATTAATATTTTTATATTAGTAGATCCTTAATATTTTGAGAGAATATCTTTTTAAAAAATTATGGATAAGTGATATATAAAAATTAAACTTACAGTATGAAAGCCCTGTACAGAGGGGTATAGGGTATCTGAAAAGAGAGAGGATCGGCAAAGGTCGGGTGCTATCGGCTGTTTCCGATCCTCCAACCCTTATTTTTTCTTTAGTTACTAATCAATTTTCATCATTCATTATATTTAACCATTTTTTATATCTGTTACCAATGTGAAATGGTTAATTATTTCAAATAATAAAATCACATTTTATTTTTTTTTTAGCCTTGGCCCCGACGAACTGCATTATTTAATTATTATTTATTTTTGAGTATTAAGTACTTATTATAGCTGATAATAAGCCTTTGTCCTTCCAATTACTCATTTTTAAGGACATCTCACTTTTTTTCCTTTCCATTTTCGTTTTCTTTCTTCACACTCTTGATAATTTTAATAAAATAATTTTCCAAAGTTTACCATTTAGAATAACATTCAAAGGGCAATAGGTCAAGCACCTATTAATGAAGAAAAAAAAAGGATGAAAGTGTTCTTCCTTTTTTTAAGAATAAACATTTAGAATACTTGATCCGAATGTCACTTATCGGTTTTTGCCTCGGTTACTTCAGAAAAACCATATACTCGACAAAAAAATTAAAGATACTTTAGGGGAAGAGATTTTAAAAATTAGGCCTTTAAACTTATCCCTCTGGGCTCGGGGTAGAGTAGACCCACAGTATTGCTACTGAGAGTAATGAGAACCTCAGTAGAGAGCTGTAAAGGAAAATTATAAAAATGTGTAAAATCTTTGATAAAAGGAGTACTTCCGGTTAACCAATTTAAATGAAGAAGTCACTATAACATCCCAGGCATGTCACAAACCTTAAATATTCAATTTCAGCTGAATACGAATTCATTTTGAGCTAGACTGTTCACATACACACACACACACACAAACCATTTTGCAGGACTTGGTTACTTAGACTCATGGAATCTCAAAACATGTATTTCTGTTGAGAACACACAGAAACATGTTCATGATCACAGTACTTACTATATATTACATACATAGGTAAGTGAAAGTAAAAATATAAATAAATAACTTACTTAATAACAATATTCACTGTAGTTAACAACCATAGTCCAATTTAACAACATTAATATGAATTAAAATTGTCATAGTCCGTGGGACAGACCCCTTTTTATCAAATTATTAACACTTGCCTGAAGCTTCATCTCATTGCAACCTGAAAATATTTTATTTATGAAAATTCTTGAAATTGGGGTGTTTTCAATCTGAATAACAGCAAACTTTGTTTATTTAATTAGGTACTAAAAATTATTTTGACAATTTGGGAGCGTAGCAAATGTCTCAATATTATTGAAAACTACATTTTTCCTCGACTTTGTGCTCAAATTATCTTTTATAGCAAATAGGTATTTATGAATTTTTAGTACCTAAATAAATTGACAAAGTTTGCAGATCTCCAGATTGAAAACGCCCATATTCCGAGAATTTTCATAAATAAAATATTTGTAGGTTATATATGAGGTGAAGCTATTTACGAAGTTTCAGGCAGATGTTAATAATTTGATAAAAATGAGTCTGTAACAGAGACTATCGTGTTTATACAAAAAAAATATATAAATATTTTTACCACTATTTTTTAAAAAAACACTTTTATGCACACTTACCACAATAATCATCACAAGGATTGTTACATACAGCAGAGCAATCTAGACAAGTCTTGTCTTGACAAATTGTTTTGTGTGTTTCTTTGCAAGCTGGTAAATATTTGACTTTTTCACATTCACCTTTAGAAATAGAAAAAGTATAAACAAATTAAATTAATTATAAACAATATTCACAGTAGTTAACAGGGATAAGCCAATTTAACTAAATTGATTTGAATTGAAATCCTCATGTTTACACAAATGTAACATGAACACAAATACACAAAAATATTTTTATGCACACTTACCACAATAATCATGGTAAGGGTTATTACATGCAGCAGAACAATCCAAATGAGTCTCATCTTTGCAAATTGTTTTATATGTTTCTTTGCAAGCTGGTAAATATTTAACATTTTCATGTTCACCTTTAGAAATAGAAAAAAAAAATCATAAATTAAATTAATTATCAACAATATTCACTGTAGTTAACAGCAATAAGCCAATTTAACTACATTAATATGAATTGGATATATGTTTGCATAAATGTAACCATGAACACCAATGCATATAGACAAAAACATTTTTATGCACACTTACCACAATATTCATCACATGCAGTAGAACAATCCAAATGAGTCTTATCTTTGCAAATTGTTTTATATGTTTCTTTGCAAGCTGGTAAATATTTAACTTTTTCATGTTCACCTTTAGAAATAGAAAAAAAAGTATAAATTAAATTAATGGTAATAGTTCACATGTGTTCCGCACGGATTCCGCCTGGTTCACAATTACTTCGATCACACTTGTTCATGGAATCCCGAAAACAGCCAAATGTTGTAGTATTTTATGACGTCAGCATTTGCCCCCAACACACAATTCCTTTTCATGCATTTTTGAAAAAAACATATTCCCTTGATAGAACTTCCTTATTATCAACTTATTAACGAATTATGTGTTTACTAATTTGTTAATCATTAATTTTTATTATAACGGCTATTACTCTGAAAGAAAAAGAAAATATATATATATAAAATGCTTGAATCGTCCTTCAAGGCTTGTTAAAAAAAATGGTTTACAAATAAAATTTGTATTTACACGTGCTTACATTTAGTGGCTGTAAATATATAATATATTGTAGTGTATTATCTTTTACAACTGTTTATAAAAGATTTTTTTATCATTTGGATGATAAACAATCTGAAATTATCTATTATCTTTTTACTTTTTATTCGAGTTTTTCAATAGAAGTGGAATAATTGAATTTATAATTTATTTTAGTGAGCCAATTTTAGAATTGCGCAATCGTCTATCTAGATTATGTAACTTTTTGGATTTCTAATAATATGAGGGTCCAATGTTTTCTAATGGTGGCCCTTTTTATAGGAATACTGCCTGATTTGAGATTGAGCATCAAGTTTATGTAACTTTTTTGAATTCTTAGATATACGGATCCACTATTTTCTAGTCGTTGGAGCTTTTTATGAATATACTGTCAGATTTGAAATTGTTCATTCCAGTTTTTGCAGCTTTTTGGATTTCTTAGATATAAGAGTCCACTATTAAGTTGTCAAGGACGCTTTTTATGAAAATAATGTCAGATTAAAGATTGCGCGAGAATAGTGGGAAATTTAAATAAATAAAAAGTATCTATTAATCGTTATAGAGATATATATTTATTCCAATAATGTCGAATCCCAATGGGACCCATAGATCTGCCAGTTAGTTGGACTATACTGTTGACTTAAAATTTATTTTCTCATTTTAATCTATATTTTTTTATTGAATGAATTAACTGTGTAATTGTTATTATCCGTAGTTATTTTGTTTAGTAATCTGAAAATGGGGACTTATTGTAGTCATTTGTAAAAAAAAAATATTTTTGATGAAGGAATTAATGTATTGGGGAAACAACTGACAAAGAATATCTGATTATTCCGAGATAATGAATAATGGAAATCATCAATAAGAAAAATAAAAGCACGAAATAGCATTAAGAGATATAATAATCAAAGGTTTTACTATTTCTTTTCAACAGCTGTATAATATATGGACAAGTTGGAATAAGGTTACATGATGTAGCCAAAATTTCTAATATAAGTCAGCTCCTGCTATAGAACTGAAAATAGTTAAGGTTATAGAAGTACTTAAATGGCGGGAAAATTAATAGTAACTGACTCAAGAGATCGGTTACCATTCATTCCCTTTCGGATAAACCCAAACGCATTCGGCACTCCATGCACAAGTGTGACCGAAGTGATTGTGAACCACCCATAATCTGTGCAGAACTCGTGTAGTTGACAGTAATAACCAATTTAACTACATTAATATGAATTGAATATATGTTTACATAAATGTAACTATGAACACCAATGCAAATAGACAAAAATATTTGTATGCACACTTACCACAATAATCATCACAAGGGTTGTTACATGCAGCAGAACAATCCAAATAAGAATTATCTTTGCAAATTATTCTATATGTTTCCTTGCAAGCTGGTAAATATTTAACTTTTTCATGTTCACCTTTAGAAATAGAAAAAAATATATAAATTAAATTAATTATAAACAATATTCACTGTAGTTAACAACCATAAGCCAATTTAACTACATTGATATAAATTGTAGTCCTCATGTTTACATAAATGTAACCATGCACACCCACAGATACATAATTTAATTTAACTACATTAATATGCATTAATGAGTGAACAATATTCTCTGTAGTAAACAGCCATAAGCGATGGTGCTGGAAATAATGATTGATTTACAGATTAACCTTTTTAATTATTTAGTTGCTATGACAGTACCTTTCAAAATGGCATTGATATTTAAATTATTTATGATGAGCCTCATAGTTGTTTCATATGGCAAACATGCAGAATTTCGAGCCAAACAAAGAGCATTTGCAGCACGTAATGCTTCACTTTTTAAATCAAAAGAATATATTGAAATGTAAACATGGAAAATGTGAGTGTCCAAACATAAGATGCTTGTGTGAATTGATCCATGTAATTCAAAAATAGTGATTTTGACTTGAAAGACCAAGAATGCCCAGGTTAAAATTTCAAGATGCCTATTCCTAAGCATTGCCTCTCAAAGACGATAACCAAACCCAATAACCAATGGTAGAGAGGTTAAATATCGGTCTCTGAACCATTTGAGATTATTTGCAGTCCATGGGAAAGATACAGAAAGTAGGAACAGGCTATACCACTTCAGTTGAATGACAGACAGATGAAAAAGAAAAAAAATGGTGTGCAAAGTTTTGCTTTATCGGCATTAATGAAAGACTTTTTTGTATCGGATCATGACTGGAGGCAAAAACTGGACATATTTCAAAAACCCAAATCATGGGTTGAACAGAATCAGTTTGGAATAAAGACAATGTTGTGTGTGCACATGGTGGGATCAGAAGTGTGAGATGTACCATGAGCTTTTTAATCATACATTAATCAAAAAGCAAACAGAATGGGCTACACACTTTTAAAAAGACACTTCTAAAGCATAACAAAGCATCAGAGGTTAAAGACATCATTGTTACTCCTGGCTGAGAACTCTTGCCCCATCTGCCTTATTCACCAGACTAGGCCTACTTGTTTTCAGCAATGTGTTTCACTCTCCATTAGACATGTCAACGATGATGGAGATGTTGTAAAATAGCTTGATGATTGTACCATCTCAAAAGATGTATAGTTTTTCTAGGAGAGCATCAACGAATTGCCAGAGAGATGGAAAAATGTGTAACTAGCAATGGCGAATGCTTTGAATAAACTACTTTTTAACTTTCTCCAAAATTAAACTTTTTTTAAAGAAAAGATTAAAAATGATTAACCACTATACCAGGTATAAATTTTATTTTACCTCGCAGTTTTATTGAAACCCAAAAAAATCTCAAATTAAGCCAATTTTGACATATGACTAACAACTGTGAGACCTGGAAACTAACCAGCACCCTAGAAAGAAGTTGTAAGCAATAAGCCAATTTAACTGCATTAATTTGAATTGAAATCCTTATGTTTATATAAATGTAACCATGAACACAAATGCACATAGACAAAAATATTTGTATCCAAACTTACCACAATAATCATCACAATGGTTGTTACATGCATTAGAGCAATCCCAACAAGTTTTATCTGGACAAATTATTTTACATGTTTCTTTGTAAGCTGGTAAATATTTAACTGTTACACGTTCACCTATGGAATCAGAAAAAGAAATATATAAATTAAATTAATTATAAACAATATTCACTGTAGTTAACAACCATAAGCCAATTTAACTACATTGATATAAATTGTAGTCCTCATGTTTACATAAATGTAACCAGGCACACACACAGACACATAATTTAATTTAACTACATTAATATGCATTAATGAGTGAACAATATTCTCTGTAGTAAACAGCAATAAGCCAATGTAACCACATTAAAATGAATTGGAATTCTCATGTTTATAAAAATTTAGCCACCAGCACACACAGACACACACACAAAAGCAAATGGTTAATTCTTCCCTCCTTATGTCAACAATACATTTTTTACACTTTCACATCTAATTCACTATCCTTCCTGCACTGTTAAAGCAAAACCCTAGTCATTAGTGAGTTTCTAAAAAATAATCCTTCCATACTGTAATTTTTATTTATGTTTATCAGGTGTGTTGGTTTATTCTTAATTTTTCTAAGAGATGGTGCTGGAAAGCATGAAAAATGTGTAACTAGCAATGGCGTATGCTTTGAATTAACTACTTTTTAACTTTCTCCAAAATTAAACTTTTTTAAAGAAAAGATTAAAAATGATTAACCACTATACCAGGTATAAATTTTATTTTGCCTTGCAGTTTTATTGAAACCCAAAAAAATCTCAAATTAAGCGTGTAAAATACTATGAATAAAGCCAATTTTGACATATGACTAACAACTGTGAGACCTGGAAACTAACCAGCACCCTAGAAAGAAGTTTTAAAACATTCAATTAGAAAATGTTTTGTGCTATTAGCAATCTGGTATTAGAATAATAACGAATGAAGGAGGAAGAATAATAAAGAACCACTTACAGAATCTGGCCAATCAATATCTCATGATATAAATATAAGGGATTAATATGTCAAGAGATATAGCTCAAAGTAACCATCAGGAAAGCTTGAGGAATAAATGCCTCAATAGTTGCTAAGAGATCATATGGAAGATCAAAAAGCAGATGGACAGATTGAACCAACAAAGATGCTAGAGAGATGCATAGAGAAAATTGGATAGCACAATGACCCAAGATAGGTAGGTATGGATAAGAAGTCATAATCATCGAGTGTTGAGGTTTTTTATCACCCTCATGTCTACTGATATTGGTTCGAATATGGCCTGAGCAGATGTATTCTAAAACAATCCTCCCCTTACCCCTGTATGCCAGAATGGCAAGGTAAGGGGTAACTTAAATAAAAAGGTAGATCTGGATAAGGCTTGTTTATGTGGCCAGAGACCTACAAGGTCTATAGATGGCCTAAATATATGTATATATATATTTCTTTAGTAAGAAACTCAATAGAGTAAATTTGAATTTATCAGTTACAAATACAATAAACATTGCTTAAATCTCTCTCCGAATTTCCTTATATAACCATATATCACTGAAAAGAGCATGACATTTTCTATCAGATTATTTAATAATATATGTGGAATTTTGATTTATAAGAGATTTATTATAATGTAAATAAAATAATTTTTTTGTGAGATGCTTAAATGGTGTGCTAATTGATATAGGAAAATATCTGTAGCTAAAAACTCTCTCCGAATACACCAATACAACTTATAATAATGAAAACAGTATGAAATTTTCTATCAAATGAAAAAATAATATTAGTGGGATTTTGAGTTTGAAATTTTGTATTACAATATAAACCTAATACAATTATTAAAATTTAATTTATCAGTTATATATACTAGTGAAAATTGTGATAATCTCTCTCCGAATACAACCATATATTGCTTGAAACAGCATGCAATAACCTTCCAAATGACAAATAACTTTGGAGGGGTCTAATGAGCTTAATGAAATTCATTATAATATAAATATAAATTATTTTTAAAAAATAGTGTTTTAGTGTGATTATAGAATACTTTTAGTGTATATTTTATTTTAGTGTATATACAGTTTATTATTTTATCATAACCTTAGAAGGTATGGCGGCGTGTAGAATTGGATATAAGACAATATATAATATTCATGTAATTAAGACAACGATTTCCTTATAAAAGAAACTAGTTCTTTTCAGGTCTTTCATAATTCTTTTTTTTCTTTTTGATTGTAGAAGGCATTAAATCGTGACCTATGTTTATGAAAACAACTGGTGGATTGGAATGATCCCAGATATAAATGAAGAAGAAGGTGATTATGATACATCCTATTTATACATCCCTCTGGTCCAACTGAAATTATTTTTGGCCCACAAAAAAAGCCAAATGAAACCACCAGTTCATCTTCTTTGTTTAATAACACCTGCTGTGGTATCTTTTGAATTTATATATTAACAAAGCTTAGCAATATTAACAAACACCTTGAAAAGGTAATTAAGTTTTAAATGGACTATTTCATTTTTCTTTGAACTATTGTATCACTATTTTAGAAACTAAATGTTATGTAAAACTTATAATTTTTTTTCTCAATATACTGTGATTTATATCAAGTAGTTAAGTACTTTTTCACTATCTAATTTAATAAATAAAAATATTATTTTGTTGACCATACCAACAGCAACACACAGATTTTTTTGTTGTATTTATATTATAATAAATTCCATATAACTCAATAGCCCTCTCCAGTGTTATTTTATCATTTTGAAGGGTATCGTATGCTGTTTAAAGTAATATGTGGTTGTATTCGAAGAGAGATTATAGCAATATATATATATATATATATATAAAACTGATAAATTAAATCATTATATAAATAGGCAAACACCAAATGGTTCAGCCCCTTTTACTCCTTTATTATTCAATCGATTTTCTTCCTTCTTTTTTTGTTTAATAGCTATTCACGAGCTTTAGTGTTATCAATAAATAAAAATATGAAATAGTATGTAAGTAAATATATAAATGGTAGTTTGTTCAAAACGGCTAATCTCTGAAAATTCTTTACAGATTTCTTTTAAATTTTGACACAACGTCGCAATAATATTTAGAAGTGTTTTTGTATGCGTTTCATTATGATTAGGCTTTTCCTTTTGAAATGGCAGCTTTCGAAAAACGTGATTTGCTTTAGACTATAGCGCCAATACAGCTTCAATGATTTCAATGAAACTTGGCTAAAGTCATTGATTATACAAATACAAATATTTATTGGAAAGTTTCCTGAATTCCCAACAAAATAAAAAAAAGAATAATCGAAATTGGACTATTCGTTGCAGAGATATATCATTTTAAACATTTAGTACGTTTTAATTTGCAAAGTCGATTTCCATTATTTTGTTTTTTGATAAAGTGAAAATTTTACATTTAATGAAGTAATCTGGACTATTATTTGAAGGTATGATATCATTGAATGTTATTGGAATATTCTAAGTAAATTCTATAGTTTTCCTCATTTTTAACTTGAATACTGCACAAGCATTAGTTAATGAAATACAAATGAGAGTGAAGTACTAACAGGGGCTACTTTTAATTCCAAGAATTAATTTAACATTTTCTAACACAATACTTACATTCAACTTTCAAAGAACAATATTCTTATTAATAGCTGCAATTGCTATGACTATAATAAAATCGCAGGGTCAAAGTTTTGGAAAAATATTGTTATTATTGCGACGTCCAATAATTTCACATGGACAATTATATGTGGCAGCAAGTAGAGCATGTTCATTTAAAATATTGAAATTTATATTTTCAATGGCAATGGGCAAGGCTATGCACTAAACAATAACAGAACATTCAAAAAGAACACATTGTTTACAGAGAAGTTTTGAATAAAAATGGATTTAAAATTAATTGAAATTGCTAATTTAAATTTTGAATCATGATTTTCTCTTATTTTATTTAATTATATGTTTTTCTCAAATTTTGAATGACTATCATCGAATTTCAACCACTGGGCGAACACTAGTTTTAATAATTGTATTAGATTTATATTGTAATATAACACTTCAAACTCAAAATCCCACTAATATTATGTTTTCATTAGATAGAGAATTTCATGCTGTTTTCATTAATATGTATTGGGATATTCGGAGAGAGATTTTAGCTACAATGATATTTTGTAATATTGGGTAGCATACCATACCATTCACACATCACACAAAAAATTATTCGATTTACATTATAATTAATTTACATTATAATCTTATACCTCAAAAATCCATAAATATTATTAAATAATCTGACAAAATTGTATGGTCTTTGCAGTAATATTTGGTTATATTAAGATATTTGGAGAGAGATTTAAGCAATTTTTACTTTTATTTGTAGCTGGTAAATTCAAATTTACTCAATTGGGTTTAAAGTGTAATAAAGCTCTTCAAACTCAAAAGTCCACTAATATTATTTTTGCATTGGGTAGAGCATTTTATGCTGTTTTCATTAATATATGTTTGTATTGGAATATTTGGAGAGAGATTTTAGCTACAGGTAGTTTTAGTTTTCTATGTTTTTATCACAACTTCGAAAAATTAAGTTTAACAATTTTTTTATACATGAAGAAAAATTTTAATGCTAAAACTCATGGTATTGGCAGATTTAGTATTAAATTGATGACAAATGAATAAATTTTGAAAGATCTTGGTCTATAAATATTGGTTTGGTACATGCTTGTTTCGAGCTTAAAATGTCTTCTCAACATAGAATATTTCAAAATTTGAATGTCTATAATTCTATAACTAATCGTTAGAATTGGGTATAATTTGGTATTTGGTATTTTTACTTGTATATTTACACACTTTCATTAAGATTTGAGGGGGGGAGGGTTACAAATTGAACTTTTTCTGGATGATTTAGCATGGAATGACCCAATATCATTCTGCAATGATTTCATCATGATAAAAGAGTATTTTTATACTTATATCAGTATGCAAACATAGTGAAAGGAATTTTTTTTTTTTTACTTGCCAGAGACCTACAAGGTCTATAAATGATGGCCTAAAGATATATATATATAAGCCTTATCCAGATCTACCTTTTTATTTCAGTTACCCTCTACCTTGCCATTTCTGGCATTCAGGGGTAAGGGGAGGATTGTTTTAAAATACATCTGCTCAGTAGACATGAGAATGATAAAAAGGGTTAATGAAAAAATGATAAAAACTTATACCACTACAACCTATATAGGTTTTTGGGTTCAATACTTCATAAGGAAGTACTGCTCCTCGATAGAAGGTTAAACAAGGTGAAATCACTATCAACAAATAAAAAATAAAAATAAAAAAGATAATAATATAAATATAAAATTAACATTCTAAATTTAAAGGTTAATGAAAACAAATTGAAAGTTTATAATTATTTATTTTAATGGTACAGTAGTTCTCATCAAGTGGAATGTAGAGTACCACATATTATATTACAGGATTGTGACAATTTTTACACAGTATTTTGTCAAACGAAGTAAAACTTTTTTCTGCCAAATAGTATTTCATGTCCTTAGTAACTATTTCATCCCCAAAACAGGATGAGAAACACCATGATAAGAAACAATCTTGGCCTAAAACCTTAACATGAAACTCTGGAAAAGAATCGTCTTTGATGTTTTGTACATGTCTCACTGATGCCAAGTGAGAGAATAGCTAGGCTGACCTATGACATGAAGCTGTATGGAAGAAGAAGCTGAGGACACTCTAGGGAAACCTGGGAGGAAGGTGTTAGGGAGACCTTTGTTGCAAGGAATTTGGTTTGGAGAAGGAGGAGGGACCTGGCACATAACCCAGCAGAATTGAAACATTACACTGCACCAGATGGTAGACGAGGAGCGGATTAAGAAGAAGAAGTGGCTGTTTCAACAACTATACCAGTTTTTATATGATATCTTGCTTGCCCCTGTATTGTTGATAGTGTTTTATTGGTGAATTTGAGAAAACAGTGATGTAGATGAAAAGTACTTTTCAAGTATAATATTGGCTTGTAATCTTTCAGTTTAATATTTTAAATACGGGAAATTATGATCTGTGTCCTCCTTCTGAGTACCAGAGTGCTGAACCGTTGATAGAAGGACCGAGTAAAAAGGAAGTTGAAGTAGCTATCGGTAAATTAAAATCATATAAAGCAGCGGGAATCGATAATATTCCTACTGAACTAATTAAGGCATGCGGAGAAGCTGGAGTTTCTAAAATACATCGGTTGGTTAAAAAGATCTGGGTGAACGAGAAATTACCTGAAGAATGGAAAGAATCTATTCTTATTCCGATTCACAAAAAGGGTCCGAGGACGGATTGTAATAACTATCGAGGAATTTCACTCCTTCCGGTATGTTATAAAATATTCACTTCAATCTTAACCAGTCGAATCACGGAATACGCCGAGGAAATTATCGGAGACTACCAATGCGGATTTAGACGGAATCGTTCGACTATTGATCAAATATTTTCTTTACGGCAAATATTAGAGAAAAAATTGGAGTATAACGGTATTGTTCACCAGCTGTATATAGATTTTAAAAAGGCTTACGATTCTATTGACCGCCAGAAACTGTATAATATTCTAATCGAGCAGGGAATTTCAAAAAAACTAGTAAATCTAGTCAGGATGTGCTTGACGGAGACACTCAATAAAGTCAGAATCGGTAATAATTTGTCCGAAAAATTTGAGGTTCGTTCGGGCTTAAAACAGGGGGATTCTCTTTCGCCTGTCCTGTTCAATTTGGCATTAGAACATGCCATTAGGGAGGTAATGCGTACCGAGAAAGGGTTGGATCTGGGCGGGACAACATCCGTGCTGGGCTATGCTGATGATCTGGTACTGTTAAGCGAAGACGTTGAAACTATAAAACTAAATACGACAACGTTAATGAAAGCCGGTAAAGAACTAGGACTCGAAATAAACGTGGATAAAACAAAATATATGGTTAGCTGCAAAAATGGCGATACTATTGGTGATATCGATATAGATGGTAATATGTTTGAACAGGTAGATAAATTTAGGTATCTAGGTTCTACGATAACTAGAAAAAACGAAATTGAAGAAGAGATTAAAGTTAGACTGAAGGCGGGGAATGCTTGTTATTTTTCTGTGACAAAACTACTCAGTTCGCGCCTCTTGTCCCGAAACTTAAAAATTAGAATCTATAAAACAATAATCTTGCCTACAGTTCTTTATGGATGCGAAACTTGGCCGCTTACATTAAGGGATGAGCAGCGTCTTAAGGTTTTTGAAAATAAAGTATTGCGTAGAATATTCGGACCGAAGAAGGATGAGTTAACCGGAGAGTTCAGACGGTTACACAACGCCGAATTGCGTGAGCTATATCCGGGTAATATAATTGAGGTAATTTCATCGCGGCGAATCAAATGGGCTTGTAAAATTGTTGGGCTTAGTAACGAGAGAATTCCTAAAAGGTTAATATTTGCTGTGCCGAATGGTAAGCGTCGGAGGGGTAGACCGAAGCGAAGGTGGGAAGATTGCATTAAAGCTGATCTGAAGGGACTGGGTTTGGACGGCGAACGGTGGAAGGAGGTGTGTAACAAGCGATTGGTGGTGTCGGCATCGAACCTTCGGGTTCGCTAAGCCTTATTATTATTATTATTATTATTATTAATCTTTCAGTTTGCTGAAGTTTTGTCTTATTCAAAAATTTATATAAATTTAAAAATATCATAATTTTATTTACTTTCAAATACCTACCTATTTTTGCTTCCTCACTACCAAAGGTAGGGAAGCACTGTATTTGTGCGAGCGGTTAAAAAAATGTTTGTGCTCAGAATTGAAAATTTCCACTTGTGTTTTACGTTTTAGACATCAAGGATCAAATTTGGTTCAGTGTCTATCTGTCTGTTTGTAGTCAAATCGATGTAACGGGCATATCACCTATTACCGTTCATCCAATTTCGTGCTGAAGGCACTCCAAAACGGTAAAATATAACCATGTTTTATAGAAAAAAATATTAAAAACTATCTCTTAAAGTAATTACATTTAATAGGACTTCAAAAATCACTTAAACACCATTTCATATAGGTAGTTCATTTCATTCTCTTCTTTTTTTTTTGAATTAATTATCTTTATATATATGAAAAAAATCTTTCGGGCTGAAGCCCCCCCCCAAAATTAAATCCTGGATCCACTAGTGCTGTTATGGGATTGTTTGAATCACATTTTGCTGAATGTATTTTTAAAAAAAAGTATGTTTAAGAAAAAGTATAATTATTAAAAATAAATACATTATAAAAACAAACATTTAAACTTTTTTTTTATAGTTATCTAATAAAAGTTTTATATAAACAGAGGAGAAGAATGACAAAACATTAGTAGGAAACTTCTGACAAAAGGCTCTGTACTTTGCTACACTCTGACAACAAAAAAAGTTAATATTGTCCAATTTTTACTCTGTCTCTCATTGGGTATCTTTTATTTCAACACCCATCGAGTAACTGAGGTTGATAAATTATAATTATTTTCACATTTTTAGTTAAGTATAAAATTGAAGTCAAATTACCGCATTTGTTGTTATTGCTAGACTTTTGACATTTCGATAAACAGACCTCCGGACTAATTTGCCTGCAGTCCAATGTTTCTTGGTTTCCTGTAAACAAAACCTATAATAAGCAATGTAAGACAAAATAATAATTAGGCATGGAATTTAAAATTAACTAAATATAATTTAAATTAAAAGGATTTTAGAGTGCTACCAGTGGGTAGTTTCTCAACAAGTGATTTCATGTCATTATTTTCTGTTATCAAATTTACTAAATGTATTTTATTCATTAATACAGCTGTAAATATTATAAATAAATAAAAAAAAAATTAAAAGGATAGTGCTTAACAATATTTTCATATTATAGTATAGTTTATTGGTAAATAGTGAACTTGGATTATTGAATAGAATAAATTAAACTTATGATTCTTAGTATTTTTTGCCATTATTAAAATAAAAACAACTTATTTCAACAGTATGTTTTATGTTAGACTAGCTGATGCACCCATCGTTGACGGGTGTGTAGTTAAAATTTGAGAATCTTTTTTGAGATGGATATTGTATTATGGAGGTTGGGAAGGGTTAATTTCATAACATCGAGTGAGGAGGGAAAGGTAATTTTAATTTTTAGAAAATTTTCTTCCGAATTCTGGCTAATCCGTTTGGTTAATCCTAAAAATGAATACGACAATATTTGTTAGGCCCGGGAAGATGAATAGAATGTTACCTTGAACGGGGAGATCCGACAAAGTTGAAAAATGAGTATGTTTTAAGCGACAACCCGTTACAGATATTTGGTATTACGGATTTTTCCCGTTGAGTTGCGATAATTTTTTCCATCAGTTGAATAGTACAACTTTTAAATGTGGCTCGCAGTAGAGTAGGTTGGGATGAGAATCGAAGTAACTGTCTAACCAGGATCTCAAGACAAATTACGCAAGAATTCATAACTTTGGTTGTATATAATATTTTGTTTTCATTTAAAGCCTATGTTTTTTGTCAAGTAAACCTTAATATAATGTAAAAATTTCAAAAGTTTGCAATAAGCCATTGCTGAGCTTACCCCTGACAAAATTTCGTTGCAATGCGGACATACAGACAGAGAAAAAGTTTTTAAAAGTGGATTTGGTCTCTGCAATGTATGAAAGGGAAAAATGTCATAAAACGGGTTAATTCTATTCAATGTACAGACAAAATCTTTATTTTATTTATATAGATTAAACTCCCAGTCACATTATAGAAAATGATTTTGTTTGGAAATAAGCTTTTCACAGAAAATATTTTGAATGAGTTTGGATAGATTTATTGTAACGATCTTTGTTGGTCAGTCTAAATAGTAATTACTTTGTCAGTCCATTTACTGGTGTTTATGTAATCAACAGTTTTAAGTTGTTTAATATTTAATTGTTTTAATATTTTGCCCAGAAAATAAAAAGATCATTTGAAGAAGTAAGAAATTTAATGATGACTGCCCATAACACCAAAAGAAAGATTACACTATGTTTAAGGTGAATAATAATAATAAAAACAAAGTTTGTCATTAAGATTTATTTATTGGCGATTGACAAAAATATAAATTATCAATTTATTAACAATTCACAATAATTTAATTGGCAATGTAATTATAATTTTTATTAACAATACATGCTCATAATGTATTAATTCTTTCTTAAATTGTATATATAATTTAGCAAATTAAAGTTTGTGGCATTAGTTTGAGAACTATTTGTTGGCACAACCAGTGCATCAGGTTGATCCAATGAAGTATCCGTTAGTGGGCCAGAAAATGAAGATTGACATTGAAGGGTCTGTTGTTTTGCAAACAATGCTTCCTCAAATTTTTGCACAGTGGCAAATAACTCTGATTTTGCCAAATGCCATTGATAAGGTGATAAAGTTTTCAAAGCCGGAGCTATACCTCTTAAAAATGCATCAACTGCCTCTTGTTCTTTAAGATCTGATGAGGAAACCTCATTCTCCTTTTGGTCAATAAAATGCAAACGTGTCTCTACTGCAGTTTGAAAGGCTGATGATTCTGGTACATTTTTTTCTCTAATATTTATAATATTCGGATTTTCAACAATGCTTACAGATGATGAAGGACTCCGAACATTCTCTGAATCAGTTTCAATTTTCTCTGCAAAATCTTCTGTGTTTGCTTCTTCTCTTTCTGTAGTTTCGATAATATTTTTTTCATATTCAATACTTCCTTTTGTCTCTCTTTTTTCCAAATATTTTTTCGGTAAATTTAATTGATCAGCATGTTGATGCATCTTAATTTGTTTGGCAATTTTACCACCCTTAGTTTCATTCCTCGTAAGAGTTTTATGGAAATTGTCTCTTATATTGTTCCATCTTGTTTTACATGTCAGCCCTGAAACAAAAATACAAAATATATATATACATATATAACTTAAGAAATAATATCAATATTTTATATACAAGCGCTTAACCATATAACTAATGCTGTAATAAACTTTCTTATTTTTTTTAAGGTACTAGCTACTCGTAATTTTTTTTTAAAAATAGTTATCGAATGAGTAATGGGGTATGTTGTCTCAAAAGTTTAGTTAGAATTTCCAAAAGAATAATTCAGGTTAATCCACAAAATGCAGATTCAATAATACTTACCACTATTTTTAGTATAATTTCATTAGAAATACAAAATTCCTAATATGCCTATGCAAGCAAAGAAAACATTTCCTCTAATGTAGGCAGAGAGCTTGATAATTTGCATTTGATTGATTTTCAAGTAACAACTATTTAAAATATTACTTGAGTAAGAGTCTGGATTTATACTTTGCCAATAAATAAATGTTCATGCACAGAAATCATGAAAAAACAAGGAATCATTGTAATTATTGTTTATTTTAACTTGTATAATTAGAATTATTTTCAATTTTTTTTTATTGTTATTATAATTTCAAAGAACCAAAGAATGTGAGTACAGATGAGTTAAAATTGTTTTTAAGTTTATTTTAAATTTTTAAAATAAAATATTGTTTAATCTTCAAGATTCAATGAAATGGCAAATTATAATTAAATAAAATCTTATAAGATTTAGTATAAAGATTAACCTTTACGATAGAAAACAAAATCTTTAATAGTAGGAAGAAAAGAACAAACAGATTCTTCTTATCTTGATTAACTTATTTTGATTCAGGGAATTACATCATTCTTTTAATGATTTGGGTTTTTTTTTTTATATTTCTTTAAAAATTGAAACAAGAAATAATATAGGGAACTAAAAATTTTTGAAAACCAATGTATCTTTGAATTGTATTTCATGTGGTAAGAAACATCAATAAAAATATTTAATAGGAACCAGCTAATCATCCAAATTTATTCCTAACAAAACATGTATTGACTTCCGCTGGATGCTAAGGTTCTTCTTATAACAGCACTCAGTGCTAGCTGTATTTTGGATAGTAAACATTTGTTCTATTTTACATTCTCTGCCATGTCAAGAGATAATTTTTTTTCCTAATAATAAGATTGATCATTTATACATATAAAAAAAAAAAAGAGTTACAAATGGAACTATTTAGAAAAAGATCAAAAATGAGTTTACAAACAATTTTTCAAAACAGTTATTCTTAATATTAATTAAATTAATTTTACATAATAAAATACTAAACCTATTAGTAAGTACAAAGTAAACTGTGGTAAAAATCTGATGTGGCTTGCGCACCACAAAAGTTCCACTTACCATCTGACTTAGAGGACTTGATGGCCATGTTTCTAGTTGAGGCAAGGATCCGGGAGTGTTTGGTGTTCGATTCCTACCGAGGTCAGTTAATATTTATTTCTCAGTGGCCATGAGAAATGAATCTTGACACTCCCAATCTGGTAAGTGCAAGTCAACCTCTAGGTAACCATTAGGAATTAGCAAAAAGGACTATATAAGCTCTATTTAAATGACGTTACATCGTGATATTTACGACCATTTGATTAGAGATTGATATAATGTATTTTATAAAAATTGTTAAACCAACTTTTGAAAAAATTGTGAACAATTGTAAAATTGACTGTGTAAAGTGGTACTTTCAGTAAGTTATTTGTAATGAAAAAGATGGTGTTCATCTGAGGCATATATCTTAAATACGTAATTTTAGTTCAATAGGAATTTTTGTTTCTATGCTGGACCTGTTAATTCACAACCACTCACCCATGCACACATAGATAAACACACACAAGACAAGGTTTTTTGGACTCAGGAGACCATAAAACATGTAATATTCAATGAAAACTCAGATTCAAAATTTTTCACGATAACAATATTTTCTTTTACTCTTATATTTCATGTAAATGTAAGTAAAAGTCAATACGATTTTTTCACAAGTAATACAATTTTTATAAATAATTACTGGATAAACATGCAGTGAAAGGCTATTTAAAAAAAAACTGCAATGATGTAACAATTGCTGTCAATTTTAGTAACAGTTTTTTTATATACTTTTTTGTCCGAAGGAGACATATTTTTCTACAGCTTTTCTTTCTTTTATGTATGTTTCATTTCCCATTCTGCCGTCACTCAATTATTTTTAATCTTCTTTTATTAGTTGTCACGGTGTTTTAAAGAAGAATATTTAGCCCAATACTCAATATCAACCAGAAACGGTGAATGCAATGGAACAATAAGCTGCAGGAGCTATATCCAAATGCTGATGTTAGGATAATTTTTATTAGATGTTCACTGGATGCCTGAGGAACATATAATGAGAAAATTATTAGAAAAGCAAATTTACACAAGGGGGTTAGTAGGTAGGTAGGTAGATGTAAACTTAGATGGGCTGAGGGAGTGCAGGCTAAGGATGCTTAAGTTATCCTTTGTGTACAGCTGAACTTCTATGAGATAACTGGTGGTAGAAGCTGCAGGAGGCCTTAACTCTTTACGAGTTGTAGTGGCATAAAACAAGAAGAAGCTATTATATATTATAACTGTATATTAGTAGTTCCATTTTTTTATTTTAAATTATGTGTAAGTGACATATAACAATAGAAAAGCTCTATTCTGAGTAGTTTAAAAGCAGCGAGATTAGGAAAGATTGAGCATTCTTGACTGTTTCTGATTTCCTGGTTTCTATCCCAGGACTCTAACCTATCTATCATAGAGCACTTGAGCAGGCATGTGAGGATGCGATGGCCAAGTGTATTGGAGCGTTGCACGTTTTAGCATTCTCGTGCAATGACACCGGTTCAAATCCGGCCTGGGAGTGGTTGAGTTTTATTTCATGGCGGACCCGCGGAATGAAACCTGACCCCCCCCCCCTTCTACCTCCCCGAATGCCAGAAATTGTCAGCAGGGGTTGTCCAATAAAAAAAAAAAGAGCACTTGAGTGAGCATGCTGAAGAGCTTAAGGTACTATTTCCCTGGTACTGCCCACCGTACCAACTGTTAACAGTTGAGTACTGCTTAAGTGAAATAGAAAGGAGCATATTTTGTTGGAACTGACATCATATCAATACTGCTTCTTTTTGACTGCTGCTGAAGCAGTCAAGCTGTTGGCAGTACGGTTGTTATAGGTTACGTTATCTATATCGGAAAAGAGTTTTGATGATAACAGTCAACTTACTTTGTTTCATTTCTTTTCTGTTAATCAAGTCAGACAAAATTAGTTGCAAAATTGTTCAACAATTTTAACAAAGATATAGTAAATCCATTTTGCAGGATTGAAGGAATATGAATAATTAAATCCAACTGTCACTAATAAATGAAATAATGGACAGTTTTTTACCTTATTCATTAAAAATTAAATACTAATTACTTAAGGATAAAAAAGTAAAACAATGTATGCTGTGATTCATGATGACATTTATTACTGAAATGATCATGCTAAAAATAAGTAATAAGTTTAAAATCAGAGATACACCATCAATTCTTAAAATAATATTTCGTCATCTTCTTTCTATTATGACTTTTTTCTGTTCAAAATATTATAAGAAACCACAACTTTTTAGGAAGTGGGTATTAATATGTAGATAATTGTTAAAATTTCATAGTATAGAACTAACCTAATCTTGTTATTCAGAATTAAATACCAGAAAAAATGGCACTTTTTAAGTATACAATATAAAAACTTTAGCACCATATGTATTGTTGTCTTTCCAATACAAATAAAAACCATTAAATTAAAGGCTAACATATTTATTTAAAATTATTTCAAACTAGACTGCTAAATTGAAAGGAGGTGAACAGTGTTAGCCTCGATGAACAGTGTTAGCGAAATACACATAGATTAACGATTAGCAATAAGGGGTAGTGGTCATAGCCATGGGCAGTACAAGCAAAATAGTATGTTTACAAGGGCCCTGATGATATATATATATATATATATATATATATATATATATATATATATATATATATATATATTATATATATATATATATATATATATATATATATATATATATTTAACTACAGATAAAAAATCATAAATACCATTAAAATAACAAAAGTCCTATTTATTATATCACCGGTTGATGTTGGATTGTAAGACTATCGGTGATGCACTCTGACACTCTAATCCGAGAACATCAGGACCGAAAATATAAGGTTGAGATAGATAGCAGCAGAAGTCATAAACCAAATAGTGGAATAAATTGCTACACAGATGGCTCTCTAACAGCCTTCGGCTCTGGAGCAGGCATCTATCGCAAAGATATAAAAGAAAAAATTTCTATACCACTTGGCAGGTATGCTTCAGTGTTTCAATCCGAGATACTGGCAATCTGCCACTGTGTACAAAACCTACTGCAAACCAATGAGACTGAGAAAAAGATCACCATCTTTACTGACAGTCAGGCAGCAATAGGTGCTCTTGACAATTATTATGCTTATTCAAAGGTCGTTAAGGAATGCAATAGAGCACTTAACGAGCTAACTGAGCACAACAGAGTTGCAGTGGAGTGGGTGCCAGGCCATTCTGGCATACCGGGCAACGAGATGGCTGATGAGCAAGCCAGGTTGGGCTCAGATACTATTCCTATAACTCCCGAGCCTGTCTGTGGAATCAGCCTTAGTACTGCCAAGGGCAGGATCAGGGAGATCTATGGGAACAAATTTAGGAATTACTGGACCGACAAGAAACAGAGACACTCGAAGCTGTTCCTTAAAGGCCCATGTAAAAAAAGAAGTGAACAGCTACTGAACATGGACAGAGCAGCTCTTAAAAAACTCACAGCGATCTACACAGGTCACTGTAAGTTAAATAATCATATGTTCAATCTCCGAGTAATGACGAATCCGCTATGCAGATTCTGTCAGGAGGAGAATGAAACAGCTTTTCACATCATATGCAGATGTGACAAGTTTACAAGGCTGAGACTGGCGTTACTTGGGGAGGAACAGATGGATCTCCCCAGTAGATTTGAGTCGGTTAACCCAACCAGCCTACTTAGATACGCGGAAGCGACAGGACTAACGTTTTGAATAAGACGACCTAGCGAATATTGGCGCACAATGGACCCAAAGGGGTCGACGTGCTTAAAGCCAACATTAAAAAAAAAAAAAAAAAAAAAAAAAAAAGACTATCGGTTATTAAACTGTTATTTTCCATTGAAAAGTTTACTAAAACGGAATTTAGACATTTGCATTATCTGTCATAGATAGATCAAAAGTTGTCACACTAATTGTAAGTGGATACTGATGGAATATCACAAAAGAAATTTCATCCAACTATTCACTAATTTAATTTTCTATAAGGTTACATGAAGATTTTTCGAAATAAACGGATGATAGATACCTAAATATTTAAAAATAATGTCAGATCTAGAGTTATTAAACTACAGTAAATGTATTTAAGGTTATAAACGTATCCGTGAAATATTTTTAGGTTTCACTTCTTCTTTCACACAAGTACAATGAAATAGTATCTTAAACAATGTCATTGTTTACTAAAACGGAATTTAGACATTTGCATTATCTGTCATAGATAGATCAAAAGTTGTCACACTAATTGTAAGTGGATACTGATGGAATATCACAAAAGAAATTTCATCCAACTATTCACTAATTGCCTTGAATCCCTGGATTTTAAATACTTTTTCAAACTTAAAAAAAATTTTAAAAGTTTACATCTAGTAAGAAAATTTTATTTAATTTCCTTGAAAGCACGTGATTTATGTTAAATAATGCTAGTTTTTAGAAATTATTATTTATATTTTTTTAGCCACTCTTCATTACCTTCTACAACTTTCTATATTAGATATTGTTTTTTTCTGAAATTCTCCACTTTCCAACAATATATTATACATATACCTTCTTACTAGTATTTTAGGAGATTCATTTTCGATCTGGATAAGTATTTTTCTTTTTTATTCAATTATTAAATTCTTTCAAAAGTTTAATTTAGCATTTTTTCATGACTCTTAACAATGATAAATAGTTATTATTTATAATAAACCAAATTAAAGGAACTTTAGAGGAAGACATGATAATGTTGGGATTTCAAGAAGGGAAAATTCATCGAATTATTCATTAATTTAATTTTCTAAAAAGTTACATGACAATTTTTTGGAATAAACGGATGTTGATACCTAATTATTTAAATATAATATTAGATCTAGAATTATTAAACTATAGTAAATGTATTTAAGGTTATAACCATATGCTTTATACATTCATGAAATAATTTTATCTTTTACTTCTTTCACACAAGCACAATGAAATAGTATTTTAAACAATTTCATTGTCTTGATTAGGTGGATTTTAAATACTTTTTCAAACTTAAAAATATTTTAAAAGTTTACATTTAGTAAGTAAATTTCATTTAATTTCCTTGAAAACATGTGATTTACATTAAATATTAGTTTTCAAAAATTATAATTTATAATTTTTTCGCCACTCTTCGTTACCTTCTACAACTTTCTATATTAGATATTGTTTTTTTTCTGAAATTCTCCACTTTCGAACAATATATTATACATATACATTCTTACTAGTATTTTAGGAGATTCATTTTCGATCTGGATAAGCATTTTTATTTTGTATTCAATTATCAGTTAAACACTGAAAGACTCAGTTGAGCACATTTCAGGCTTTCTTTCATTTTGTTGGATGAGATTACAGTAGAATTATTTGACTAAAAAATGTCAATGAAATTTCCTTTTCCTTTATAATTACCATCCAGATTATGAATAATCTGTTAGCCTTCATTAAAAAGGTCATAATAAATCAAAATCCTGTTTTAATTATATCTAAGCGCCCATCTTTTGTATTGTAGTAACCAAATTAGTGGTAATTGGTAACCTGTCACATTTTTTTTTTATTATTGCAGATCATTAAGCAAAATTATATATTAGGTTTTAAAAACATTTTAATCGTATTTTATAACTTTAGAATTTCTTTGGAATTCATTAAGAACTTCTCACTGTTACTTATATAACCTAGGTACATTCTATCATTTTTATTTATAATTTTTCCTCTTTGATAATATGGCATCTATAATATCACTTCTTTCTTTTTACATATATACTTCCATTTCTACCTCTTTTTTTCAATTAATGCTTGCTTATAATTACCACTATATTTAATATTCAGTTTTTGTTATTTCTTTTCTGTACTATTTTTTTTCATATCCCTGCAAGCAATTCTAATACATTTATTCTTACATTTTCTATCAGTCTTATTTTTGAAACCCTTAGCCCTGGTGAAGGCTATTAGCTTGGCTGAAATTTTGGCACACATTAAAATAGTATTTTGCCACATAATTTTGAGTTTCATTTATCAATGCACCACTACTACATTCTGATGGATTTTATTTACACTCAACTGTATTTTCATTGTTATAAAATATAAACATGCAAATCTCTCATTTGTAACTCAATAATCATGACGTCTTTTTCCATTCCTTCCTTGTCTTTTTGGCTATACAGGGTTATTCTCAGACCAGAGGAGAGGGTGAGAGATTAATTACGGAGTTAAAAGATCCCTTGCAACAGGACACAAACTTGTAATTATTTTATCATCCAATCTTTGGTCAGTCAGGTTTGCGGACAACACCAGCTTTTGGTCAATTTTTTGAAGTACTAACAAATGATAAGTTAAGTAACTTCAGTCTTAATATTAGCAAAAAATCTATAATTTTAATAAGCTAGATTTTTTTTTCCTGTTTGGTTGGAATCTGATTCAGTTCATAATTCTTACATACCACTTAAATAGAGGAAGAGATGGCCCAACACGTTGAAATGTGGGTCCCAGAGTGTCCGGTTCTAAACATTGTGGATTCCCTTCCCACCTGGGTCAGTTATTTTCATTTCTTGGTAGATCCAGAAAATGAACTTGACTTTCCCACTCGGGTAAGTATGTGACAGCAACCTCAATGTAGCCATCAGGAGTTGGCAAAAAGGACCATGTGGCCCACTTATCAAACTAGTTCCCCCACGAGCACTGATATAAAAATGAGACAATTTTGTTGCCATCCTAATTCATTTTAACAAACTTTACAAGATATATATAAATGTTAATTTGTATGAATACAGTAAAAGTAAAGATAATTTTTTTTTTTTGATATTTTAATGGAAGCGTCTCATTCTTTCCAGAATAGATCAGTCATTAATTCATTTTGCATGTAACAGAAAATTCCTTAAGTTCAAGTAATTTTTGTCAGATATTTTCTTAATAATGTACAGGCTATGTTCCAATTAGGTATATCACAATCAAATAGACTACATCTGACAATAATTCATAATATATTTATATATTTTTCCTTTATATTCTATCTGTAATGTAAAAAAAATAGTGATTTCTGGCATACAGCAGTTGTATATGAGTTGTTGGATAAAGTAGTGTAAGTCATTTTCATTATAAATAATTAACTAGTTATTGATCGTATTAAATCATGCTTTTAATCCTCAATATTGTGAAAAAATGCTTTTAATACAATATAGAATCGACAGAGTCAATGCATCTGAAAGGTACATATAAAATAATCAGAAATTTAAATCGATTAATTTTAATTTTAGTATTGTAAAGTTAGTCTATGATTTATGTAGAAATATATTTCACTTCAGAGAACATTGAAAAAAAAAATTGTCTTACATTTACAGAGTAATAAATTAAATAATTTGGGATAGGTTTAAAACCGCATAGTGCCATTTATTACATTTATAATTTACCATTCTTCTGAAACCTGTTTCCTAGGTACAGGGTGAGAATTTTTTTCTTTTACGAGACTGAATTTTCTGAAACATCTTTCATAGAATAATGTTTTTTTCAAACATATTTGGAGATAGATATTCCAACTATCTCCACACTTCTGGGACTTAGTGTTTCAAGCACCAGTAGGTGAGGCAATTATTTATATTTATCAATAAATAAGTAACATTAAATTGCAGGTATTAAAAAACTGTATGTGAAACAAATTCGGGTATAGTGTGCCTGCATGACATGTCAGTCATGGGCCGGATTTAATTAAAAAGAGGCTTTGTACCCCACATCCCGACTCTTTGACATAAAATAAAAATATGTTCATCTCAATAAGAGATGTTATATAAGATGAACTTATCTAAAACTTGACTGTAAATGAATCTTATGGAACTTATTAATACAGAAACATTAAAAGCATTTTAAATATTGCGTTTTCTCTCTAACAACCGTGGAATGTCTGACTCCCAGCAGATAATAATAATACTGCCACTAAGCAGATAATAACCCTACATTCTACCAATATTCTTATGTTGTATGTTTAAACATTAGAACATGTAGCACCAATTAGCACTTCTATTCTTATATATTAAAAACCATTCACATTTTCATCTAAAATAAGATAAAACTATTATTTCTTACCACAATTATTGCTGGATTGATAACAGCATTTAGTGGTGTCTTCTTGGCAATCTTGGCATCTTGTTTGACATATTTCTGCACTGGGATTTTGGCAAGTATTTTTTTCAGTTTTTCCTGTAAATATTTTTAAGAAATTAAATTAATATGACATGCCTATCTTTTTCATATCTGTTCATGCTTGTATGCTTCCTCTTACCACAATAATTATTATTCTCATAACAGTTTCCTCTAACTATCCTATCATTTTGACATTCTTGGCACTTGGGTTGACATACTTCCGAACATGTAGGAAAACAATTTTTTTCTTGGTCTTCTGAAATAATCAGTTTTTATTAATAAAAAATACTTATTTTATTGAGAATGTTTAATCTCGAAAAATGGTTATATGATTGGAAGAATGACAATCTTCTTTGGGAGTAAGTGGGTTAAATTATTCCTCATTTTATTCTTTTAAGAATTTCATGAGTTAATTTTCATAGTTATTATGTTTCAGGATTAAAACTGCCCATACTTGAGATCAGCTCAATATAATTTATCTAGTATGGTCTACATGTATTTAACTGCCCTAGTTTCAATATTAATGTCTACAATATAAGATTCTTTATTTTAAACTCTATAAAAAAAAATATTTTATAGTGAAAAATATAATATATTTATTATATAGTGAAAAATATAATATATATTTATAGTAAAAATATATTTTCATTAATAGACACATGAAAGAATAATTTTGTTTATTCTCAATGATTTTTTAAAAAAATAAATACTCAACTCAAAAGTTTGGTAGACATGGCTCAGAATAAAATGAAATATCGTTAATTTCTGAATTCTCTAGAAAAATTAAAATAGTTATTAGAGCTTCTTATGAAGGGTTATAATAGCTTAAGATTTCAAATTTCAGATAAACTGACAAAATCTACTTATAATGTGAGAAATAAAGTTCATTATTTTTTTAATAAACATTGTCATAATTTATTGATATAATTCATTATATTATATATGTCACATTGTGGACAAATTATCACTCTGTATAAAATATAAAGTAAAAATCTTGAATTAATTTAACAAAAACTTTCAGTCAAATATTAGCAAATTACTTAGATACTGATAAGAAAGACATTTTTAAACTCTCCAAAGCAACAATAAATAAATCATTAAGTAATTTAGACAGCATCACACATGTATATTTGCAGAAATTTTTTCCTCAAACCAGAGCCATTTCCTGAGCTATTAATACTAGATGGTGTGTAGATTCCCGAGATAACTCAGTGATGTCAGAACAAAAATAAACGTCATAATAATAAATAATATCATGATTTGTCCAGAAGAAATAACTGTGTAGCTAAAATGTAATAATGAACATTTCCTGTATTCAAGATTCTTTATTTACCTGGTGTGTAAATATGAAACCTGAATTTTCGTATAGAAAATTCATATTCATTGCATAAAAATGTTATTCTGATCCCACCAAAGCACAGAGCATTGTCTGCTTTTCATAGCAACTTGGTCTAACAAAATCAATGCTGATTGTTCATCTGCCACTATTTGATGGAGAAATGACTTTCTTGTTTATTTGCTGAGCAGCATTTCGCAAGCAATTTTTCGCTTGTCTTACTGTCTTTCATTCAGTTCATGTGTAACCCATTTTTCCATCTTCTGGATCTTTCAAAATGCTTATAAATGTATTAAGACAGCTCCTCATGTTACATTCAAATTAACAGAGAATTGTTGTTGGGATTGGGCATCATGTCCATTCAACAATGCTTGTATTTACGCTCATAAAACTTTTTCAAAGGTCTCCCACATTATTTCTTTTTCATGTCGAAATCACCACCTGGACTCAACCAGACTTCTAGGAACATTCTTTACTCTAAGTGTTTCCTATATTTCGTTTCTTGGGACTGAATCAAATGCTACTTGAAGGTCGAGGAAGGCTAAGTATATATTTTTATCATTATCCCATGATTTTTGCATTATATTCCTGAAGGTGAATATATGGTCCTGTGTCTGACGTCCTGGTCTGAAACCAGCTTTCTCCTCTCCTATGAACGGTTCCACTAGAGGTCTCAGTCTCTTGTGCAGGATGGATGTAAACAACCTGTATACCACTGGAAACAGGCACATGGATCTGTAGTCGGAGGATTCATCCTGGCTGCCGTTTTTATGTATACAAATTATGACATTATATTCCCATTCTGTAGAGACCCTTTTCCTGTCCCAGGCTTTTTGAAAAAGTATTTGGAGAGACCTCACTAACTCCATCCCACCACAGTTAACAAACTCTCCAAATAAATTGTCCCGTCCTGGAGCTTTTCCTGTTTTTATCTTTTCAATAGTTAGCTCTACCTTGTCCTCCCGTATGACCTAGTCGATATCAGCCTCATTCCAGTGTGCTTCCTGACTGTTCCCTGAATACATATGTTCGCTTATGAATTGTTTTTCATAATGTCTCTTTCATATCTCCAGGATGCTTTTATCCTCTGAGACCATTTCTCCTTGCTCATTCTTAATATTTCTTATTCCTTTGCTGGTTCAGCCTCTCAGTGCTTTGATCTTTTTCCAAAATAGTTTTATCTTTTCCCTATGATCCTGTTTCAATCTCTCTCCAAATTTTTCTCATGACCTCTTCTTTGCTGTTTTACGGCCTCCTTAGTCATATTTCTTGCTAATACATACGACTGCCATTTTTCTGTGGTTTTGTCCCTGCAATAATTTCTCCAGGCTATTTTCTTTTCCTTGATCAATGCTTTTAATTCATCACTCCACCATGCAGTACATTTATCTTTTGTAAGTATTCTCTTGACTCCACAGACCAATGTAGCCGATTCCAGAATACTGTCCTTTATTTGTTTCTAAACATCTTCCAAGCTAGCGTCCGCATCCAATTCCTGAAGTTATATCTTCAGTTCATCTTCATATCTCTGTCTTATCTGAGAGTCCTGAAGCTTTTCTAACTCTATTCTATCGTACACTTTTAGCTTTGTCTCCGTGTTCCTTAAGTATCCTGGTGTCGGCTACCAATCGCATATGGTCACTACCTATCTACGCTCCACTAATAACCTTTACATCTCAGAAAAACCTCCTGATGTCTCGGTCATATATATAATAGTCAATGACCCTATTTGCATAATAAAATAAATACTAAATTGTTAAAATACTATTTTATTTGTTATGCAAACAATATTATTATTTATTATTATGGAAATTAAAATACCCTGTGCTTGACTAATCTGATGATTCAGTTTTGTTTAGAAATCATTTCCAACATATTAAATTATGATAATGCAATATTGATCAATGTTGGTAATGAATTTGGAACAAACAAAATATTTGGTCAGTGGAAGAAAAGGCTATGATTTCAGTGGCACTAACATAAGGAACAATAAATTTGAAAACCCAGATATATTTATATGAAAATTACAAATCAAATAACTATGTATGTAATTCCTCTTTCTGGACATTGATTAGTTCACTTGTTTTTCAGTCCGGCTAATCATTATAAAAAACAACATTATATAATTGTGATATTGTAGATGCAAATGATTCATAATAAATTATTAAATATGATTTAAATTGTTAAGGTCATATTATTACTTCTATCTGGCAATTAAGTATTTCATTTATAAAAATTACTCACCATCATAGTTTTTACGATTTTTAGTCTGATCGCAATATTGTTGACGAGTTGATTGGCATGATTCGGAACAAACTGAAATGCAGTTATTATTTTCTTGATTACCTTTTGATAACAGAAAATTATTAGAATAGGTTATTACAATTAATAAAATATGGTATTTTATAGATTAAACAGTTCAATCCTAAAATATTGGTTATTCATTACAATATAATTGAAAGCTCATGTGGATACTTTGAAAAAATTAAATTATTGCAAATATAAAGGTAAAAAGTAACATATTTTATTATTACAGCTTTTTTATTACAGCTATGGCTCAGAGCTGAGTTTTTAAAGCTGATTAGAATATGTTTTCGCAAACCTCTGAAAATGTTAATTATTACCTTCATCCTCTTGAGCCTTTATATATTTATCAAAATGCTTCTTTGAAAATTACTTACCACAATAATTGTTGCATTGGTCACAACTGTCTCGACATTTGGATTGGCGTATTTCAGAATAAGATGGCTTGCAGATTAATCTTTCTTGGTCAGCTGAATTGGTTAAAAAGATTGACACTATTAAATTTACAACCATTAAAAACATATAACTATGGAACTAAATTAACATGAAAAGTAGATTTATATTAAATCACAGTTTTAATATAAATCAATCTTAATAATTTTAATAGATATTTCTCATTACTTTTATACCATTTTGGGAAAAATAAATAAAAAATTAAGGTAATAGAAAATGCTACTTACTACAGTAGTTTTTAGTATGATTGCAGGGGCATTCCTTCCAATAGTCTTGGGATTTGGTTTGGCATTTTTCAGAGCAAGAAGGTAAAAAAGTATCAGGTTTCCCTGAAATTATCAACACTATACTGAAACTATTGCTATAAATGAATAAACAATTTTATGGTCATTACATCAAAAACTGCATTTAGACACTTCACAAACTATGGAAAACACAGTAATTTGACATAATTAACAGTGGCATTATTGCCAAACTAAACTATTTATTTTATTTTTCTTGTTACCGACAACAAATGGAAAATATAAAAAAAAGAAACAAAAACACAAGTATAGCGAAATAACCGTTTGTATATTTGTTTGTCCCAAAATTTGTGAAATGTCTAAAGGCACCTTAAAAACATGGTTAGGGAAGGGTTCTAGTAGGTTTTGAAATTTTTTTTCTTCTTAACAATTAAGAAATGTTGTGCTAAAAGAAAAAAAATATATACTATTTAAAACTCAAATATACTATTTAAGTATAAAACTGTGGAATTTTATTGAGGAGTGCATGAAATTGTTTAATCAATCTTCTAATCCGGCCTGCGAAAGTTTTTTGATAAGATAATAAAATTTGAAAAGCTATTTTAAAAATATGCAATTTGGTAGATCACGCAAACACGAGATTACTGTAACATTTATTGCATCAGTTGTTTCTATGAAAATGCTCATTCACAGCTCAACTGTCATTTATAGAACAAGAAATTTTTTTTTCATTGGAAGCCTTGGTCGATGGGACCTAAAGGTCTCGAGGCCGCCCTCCGGCTTAGTGGAGGTCTCAATGCAGACCGCTGGCCGAAAAGTTGGAAAACCCCAGACCTAAACCATTTTAAAAAAAACAACACGTTTTTTAAAAACATACGTAGTCCAATGACTACATCTGATACAATATCATCTTTAGCGGAATCGAGAGGGGCCAGAGAAGGGGATTACGACGCAGGTTGGGTGTGGAAATTCTTGGAGAATGAGGAGATTTAAAGTGGCACTTTCAGATGGATCAGGAGGAGGAGAGCGATTGTTTGAAAATTAAAATGGTGAAACTTTTTACTTAACAGTGCTTAGTGACAGAGGTGTCCTGAGGGAGGTTTCATGGCGCAAGTTGCGCCATCGAATTTTTTGAGGAGGGCATATTTTAGCCGGTTTTTAATTTTTGAGGGGGTAGGGGATTTCGACGGAGTAGGAAATTTTCCGACTAATAGAGAAAGGCAACACATGGAACTAACCGTAGCTCCAAATTTATTTATTTATGATCTACGATTTTTCTAATTCTATCTTAGCTTGCTCTGTTTTTAAAAAACAGTGAGCAATAAAATATCTTGGGAAGGTTCTTCCGTATATTCACCACTACAATCCAATAAGCAATCTGGACTGTCTCCCCTCCAAATCGCTCCTCAACAATCCCTAAGAAAAATTATTTACCTCAGCACCTGCTAAAACCAATCCATATCAAACATCGAAGCAGGTTATTATGGTAACGAACCAGCCACCTCAACGAGCGTCACATCTATAATTACTACAGTAAAAATTAAAGCCGTAATTGGTCACCTTCAGATCCCAATACTCCTATCTCACTCCCTCTCTGTTATAGATAATTTCCTCTTGATGATAACTTAAAAATCCTAAAATCTGACCATATTGCCCATCACTTCCGTCATGGTTTTGGGCAGCAACTAATGAGGATAAAGCTGAGGAATTTGTCGAACATATTTTTTATTCTTTCACACCTCTCACACTACCCACTTCTCATCTCAATAACATAAGAATTCCTAACCTCGCTCATTCCACTCTCCTTACCCCTAAAGCAGTTAATCCTTCTGATGTTTACTGTGTCAAAGAACATCGTTTACGAAAACTATCTTTCCCGTAAATCTTCTGGATAAGACCTATTTGTCTCTCAGATTCTTCGACCACTTTCTCCCAAAGCTCTATCTATCTCTTAGAATAGGGGTCTCCAAACGTAGACCTCCACTAAGTCTCGCGGGCCATGGGTTGTAATGATAAAAACAAGCGTGTTCTATAAATGACATTTTAGTAGTGAAATGATCTTTTCTTGGGAAACAACTCATGCAATAAATGCTGTAGTAACCTTGTGTTCGAGTTATTTACTAAATTTTACATTTTTATAATAGTTTATGAAATGTTAGCACTTATTAAAACAAACTTCACGGGCCGGATTGGAGGTGCATGTTAGCTATAATTTGGAGACCCCTGGGCTAGACTACTAGGTAGAAAAGCTCAACTTTCACTTGATTACAAATTATTAATCTAGAAGACTCTTTCCTCACATCTTATCTTTAGCATTTTCCTAAAAAAGAAAAACTCACCACAACAATCTTTATACTGACAGCTGTTACAGACTGTGATGTTATCGCGACAATCCTTACAGCTAGGTCCACGTTCAAATTTATGCAATCCTGGAGGACCATACGCATTCCTGCTGCTAACCACTGTACATATGGTTAATCCGGTGATAATGCATTCCCTGTAATAAAAAATGAATAAATAAAAAATTAATTTAATTAAATACTACCTAATTAGGATATTAATGCTTTCAGATTTCATCCAGCCCCACACAAAATACTCTAATGGCGTTAAATCCGTCCGTTAAAACCCACCGTTCTCCATAAGTTGCATTTAAATAATCAATGGCACAACAAGAAAACTGAGCTGGGGCACCGTCATGCATAAACATAGCATTTGCCTAATCTTCTAGGAGTTCATGAAGATTATTTTGCAAAAAATGCAAGTAAGATATACCTGACAGTCTAGGTGGCAAAAAGAAGGGGACGATGATGTCGCTCAGAAGACTTCACCAGACCTTAAAGAAAAAGTAGGTTGATAATGTCCAAAAGCAGTAGTATGAGAGTCATCTTCAGCCCAAGTATGGGTATTTCGATGATTAAGAATCCCGTTTCTTGTAAAGCAAGATTCATCAGTATCCAAAATGCAGTTCAAGAAGTTTGGATCTCGTTTGTATAGTTGAATTAACCACTGGGAGAAATGTCTGCGCTTGTTATAATCTTGTGGTAAAAAATCTTGCCTACTCGATATGTGAAATGGATACAATTGTTCTCGTAAAGTTCGCCATACACTGGTAGAGGAAACATCGAAATCTTCTGTTACCAGTAGTAGGAGATAACTGAACAACATCGAGTATTTCTTCTTCAGCATTATAAGTTATATTTATATTATATTTTATAATATTGTTATTATTAATATTATTACCTCCTATATTATTTCTATAAATATTGCAATTAATATTGTTATAGTTGTATAATATACATTATTATACTATTGTTACCTTGTTTTGAGTTTAAATTAATTAATAAACATGTTTATTTGAAAATAACTAGCGGTTAACAATTTTTGCCCACTATCTCTGTTACTTGGTTACACTGTGCGGAGTCGGGATTTGAACTGGGTAGTGTATGTTTTCACACCTGTTTCCCCCTTCGGCCATCTCGCTCAGATTTTAAACCAGATTTTTTTTTTTTTTTGAAGTAAAATGTAATTCATTATATAAAATTGGATTTTTTGTTTACGGGTTACAAAAGAGAAGAACTAAGAACTAACCCCCGTAGTGTATAATAAAAGTTCCTAAACTTATCGCAAAGCTCATTGTATGTTAACTAAATTATGAAAATGTCATTCTCACTTTGATTAATTTATTTTTTTAAAATAAATTTTATTAAACAATATTGTCGCTTTTTGATGACTATTTCCATTTCTTCTAGTTAGATTTGAAATATTTTATTATTATTTTATGAGTTTATCGCATAAAAATTCAATATCTATTTAAGCAACCCTATTCATGGTATTTTCATTAACTGACTTCTACTATAGGGAATATTTGTCCCATTTCCGGTTATGGGGTAACTCTTCTCTTGTTAAAATAACTGTGGAACTATTTGAATAAATATTTAACGTATCGATTAAGGTTATGAGGAACTATGTATGACTATTATGGACGCCCATTGCCCATTGCTCGTATTGTTTTACGGGCTGTCGTTGGTCTGGGTTTTTTTCTTCATTTTATTTGATTTTAAATAACTCCAAATGTAAAACAAATTTTGAAGTTGAGCTAAGATGCTTTTTGTTGATAGATTTTAAGATAACTGTTTATCTACTCTTTATGTTCGAACTAAGAACTAAAACTGCTGCTTGCGGTGAAATTACGTTTATAAAATTATTTTCTTTAAAAATATTAAATACTTTTGCTTAAATATTTTACTGTTTTAAAGATAATGTAAATGCGATTAAAATTGTATATAGGAAGTAAGTGTGACAGTTTAAAAAAACTAAAAAGTAAGAAATTATTGAGGAAACTTATCACTAGGTCATGATAGGTGTGGCTTGTAGTGAATTAATCATAGCACAAATATTACATGAACATCAAATCATATATTTAATTAAAAATATTAAATCAATAACAACTCTTTATATATATTTTCCATTAAGAGATTTTGGTCAATATACCATATCATCGATACACCATATCATCGTTAATTATTCATCAAATCCAATGATTGAGTCATAATTTTCAAGGTCAATCGTTTCTTCAGTTGGAAAAAAAAGCAAATCCTATAGTTAGGAAAAAGGATATGAAGAAAAGCAGAATTTACTTGCTAATAACTCAAAAATAAATATAATTTATGGTTTGTTTGTTTGTTGTGGTTTCAAGGCGTAAAACATCCAGGTCATCAACGGCTGCAAATTAATCCTTTTTATCTTTGGATTATATTTTTAAACATTTTAAATTTTATTTAAGAAATTGTTTGATTTTAAGAAATCTAACACTAACTTTATAGTGTCTTCGTCATCACTTAAAATGTTTGATATTGGAGGTGGAAAGTCCTAGACTATTTAGATTTGATATGTAAAAAGAACATTCCTATAAAATGTGGCTGACTGTAAGTGTATTATTGCAGTGTTGACATTGTGGTGGTGGCTGCTTGCTAATGAGATGTGAATGGGTAAGATTGGTGTGGCCTATTCTCAGTCTGGTTAAGACAACTTCTTCTCTGCGGATAAGGCGAGTCAATGTTGAACACTGCTTTACTGTTTGTTTATACTTTATATCTTTTAATTTGCTTGGCGGACTTATATCTGGCGGTGTTAAAATGGCAGCACCCCAGCCTGGAAGGGTAAGCGCTTGTTCCACTGCTACATCCGCAAGCTAATTTATGGTAGGTTATACTATATGATAGTTAAAAATGTTTTTCAATTTTCTCCAAAGTGAACAAAAAAAATTGAAATTAGACTTTTTTTTAGCTAAGATGTATTACGATTATTAATTTTGTATACATGTTTTGGTCGATTATTTTAAATAAATAATAATAATTATTTAAAAAATAATAATAATAATAAGCTAAAAATAATGTTAATAACACCTGGACAATACCTGCTCTCGGTTATAGTTTCGGCATATTGCACTGGTCAAACACCAGCCTACAGGAGATCGACCGCCTTGTGCGAACAACTCTCACACAAGAACGGGCCCACCATCCAATATCATCCAAAGCTCGTCTGTATTTGCCTAGGAAAGAAGGAGGACGTGGTTTGCTAAATATCGAAGAAGCTTGCCGCAAGCAGGAAGCGGCCCTACGCCGATACTTTCTTACAAAAACAACTGAGGTTTACCTCGCAATCTCAAGATTGGATTATGGTCTAACCGCACTTAACCTGAGCAATCGTGAGGTCTCTACAATCGTGTCAGAAAACGAACGCTTGACAGAATGGAAAAATAAATCTCTGCATGGAAGATTCTACAGCAAATTAAATGATAGCTCGATTGACAAGGAAATATCCATTGAATGGCTGAAAGCTGGAAAGATATTCTCCGAGACAGAAGGATTTCTGCTCACCATCCAAGACCAAGTTATTGCTACTAGATCATATAGAAGGCATGTTCTTAAAGACGCAACAACTACGGATAAATGTCGATTATGTTCAACGACGCTGGAATCAATCCAACATGTCACAGGTGGGTGTGGAGTGTTGGCTGGCACCGAGTATCTCCAGGGGCATAATAATGTGGCTAGAATTTTTCATCAGGCTCTGGCGGTGAAGTTCAACTTGTTAGATGACAAAATGACCATATTATAAGTACCACCCAAATAAACTCCTCCAAAAAGGTAGTATCAAGCTATACTGGGATGAATCGATTATAACTGACCATACTGTGCGTCACAATAAACCAGACATCCTTCTGATAGACATGAGAGAGAAAAGAGTAGAGTTTATTGATGTCGGGATCCCCAATGATAATAATATAAGCTCCACTGTTGGAGAAAAACTGAGAAAATACCAGGCAATCGAACTGAAGGAATTATATCATTTGGGGAACGTCACCACCATTCCAATTATAATATCCTCCAATGGATTGATACCAAAGACAACAGTGGCAGGCACGATGGGATTAAAATTACCTCTTGAAGTGCTGAAAGAGGCTCAACACTCAGTTCGGCAAGTATTGTTCGAAAGTTTTTAAATATCTAAAAAGTAATAGATATTAATCTGAAGTGGCTGGACTTCTGGTCTCCCACCTCAGAAACTTACCCCGCAAAGCGAGAATAAAGAATGGTAATAATAAAAATATTGAGGAAGAAGATGGTCCGGGGTGGTGGTAATAAAAAGAATAAAATAGTGAAACACTTTTTATTTATATTATATTTTATTTGTATATATTTAAACTATTAATATATAAAATTGTTTTTTTCCATTATTTTAGTCTTTTTATGACCGCCACCCCGGATCATCTCCTTCCTATTATAATATACAACGGTCAACCGTCAAGTATTCAAAGTAATAAAAATAACTGTGCTAATTGTGATCTCATGAAATGAACTGATACCAGAGGAAACTCAATTTATTTGCAGTAACTAGATCTACCGTCAAGAATGACCGAAAAAATTCGACAAGCAGCAGCGAAAGAATTATGAAAATATGTAATTTTGGGCTGACCTAATAGGCCCCTAACTATTACGTATAATAAACCCCATTGTATATGTCAAAAAATAAATAAATAAAATATTAATAATAATTTGAACAAACTGAAAAAATAAAAGTCTATTATTATTGTATTTCATAAAGTACAAATTAATTCAATCAATATTTTTACTAATTATTCGCAGGACCAACTGTTCAAATATGTGAATAAATTAATTTTTCATTGATATCTCACTAGCGAAAAAAGTTATTTTGTGTATATTGTTATGTGTGAAAATAAATTAAAGCTGATATATAAACACGGGAATGAGCGTTATCACAATTTAGAAGCACTACATAGGTAGGGCAGGTGCTACTATAGCTTAGAACCGACAGAAAAAAAAAAAAAAAAAATTGGTTGCCGATTGAGTAATTATTTCGTTGTGGAGTATAATGTATAAGCTAGAGATAAGATTCAATGTGTCAAGTTTCGTGGCTTGCTAGGGTGAATTTGTGATATATATTCACTCATTCCGTTTTATATGTACTTACACATTATATGTACAAAATAAAACAATGCTGTAAATGAGTTAGAGGAAATAAAACTGTGAATCCACCATAATTTTATCAAAAATATATTTGGACACAATCGTTTACTCAATCGTTAGAAATTTGAAATTCCCTTTTTTTTCCTAGGAAAATTCGTATTTGATGGTTTTTCAAGGCAGCAAAACCCAATCTCAATTTGATTTCCTCATA